ACTTCAGCAAAATAACGCTTGCGGTATCGCGCCTATGTATGTTGAGGGAGTGTGCAAACCTTTTTTTACGTAGGGAACCGTAGACAAAAGGTTTGCATACCCTCAGGGCGTAAAACGAATCTTTAGCTCTCACGGAGAACTTTCAATAAAAGCTTTTATAACAAGATGCTTATCTTTCCCTTTCTTTCGATTCTCGAAGATAAACGTCAATTTAGAAATCGAATAAACTTTTCTAAAGTATTTGATTAATCGTGAATGGGAGAGGTTTAAGTTTTACGTTGCTTGGTTGCTATACTTACTTGCTTTTGTGTGAATAAAATGACAATAAGTATTGTAAAATAATTACATAATCACTTAGTATTTGTTACTTTAAAAGCTAGATGTGGATAGACTTCCAGTCTCTAGTATTTTTATTCACTATCCTCCAAGCGAACGCCGGCATTCGCGCTTTTATTGTTCTTCTATTTTGTCTCGAATTACCAAAATTGAAAATATAGAAACAAACATCGAGTGTAATTTAACTATTATAGAATTTTTCATTCCATTTTATGTAATTCGCCAAATTCCTTTTTCAAATTAAAATTATCAATTACACCCTGGGCGTGGCGACAGGGATTGTCATACTCTTACTGACTGAGAAACATCTTGTTCCTTCAACTTCTCCTGCCCCAAGGAGAGGCTGCTATACATTCCTGGGCTTGGACCCGAGTCACCCCTTTGCGACGTAAAACACACGTAAAAATACACTTTTAATTGTTCAATATTAATAAGAAAAAAGAGAGAACTTTTCATTCAAATAATATAACTTCAAAAATTGAAGTTTTAAAATCTAGCACCTGTAATAAAAAGCCGCATTGCAGAACAAGGCTTGGATTGGTCACGTTTGTCGGCAGAGGTATGTCAGCCGAAACAATTGTGTCCACCATTTGCACACGACATGCGACGACTGACGGACTGGGGTGACTCGCTATTACTTTGGAAAATAAAACAAAATGGTCTTTATTTTTAAAGGTATGAAGATACAATTTATTTTTTTTTACTTCTAAGGCAAACAATTTTGTGTACCTGTAGACAATAATTGCGAAAGTGTGTAAATATGGATCCATAAGTCTAGGGTGTGTAGAAAGTACCGGAGGCCCAATCCCCTCCCCCAATCCATTAAAATCTTAATCCTTAATCCACAAAAGGTCAGCAAAGCACTCGTAACTCCTCTATTGTTGCGGGTGTCCACGGGCGGCGCTGATTACTTACCATTAGGTAATCCTCCAATTTTCCGACTTATAACATTAAAAAAATGCTTGTTAGTCTTTCACATAAAACTACTGAATAAATTTTGATGAAAATTTGCAGACATAGGTTATAAGCCTGGAATGAAAACCTAACCTGCTTTTCACACGGATAACGCGGGTGAAGTCACTGTTATCTGATAGTCTAGCAATGTCATTTTAAAGGAAAACCCTATAGCTTGTACATTTTACAAGTTTTACAGACAAACTCGACACGTGACCGTAAGAATGAAGAATGGTATTGATTCTTGTTGTCTCTCTCAATGATAGAGATGTTGATGATCTTTATGATTAAGTTTTATAATTATTTAACTCTAAGCTAAGCTTTGCTAAGGTTTATGATAGCAATGCCGTTATGTTTAGTTAAATTTGAGTGTAAGTTCTGCAGACACGTGTCATCAGTAACCTTGTGCAAAGATAAGGCCTATTTACATAAGTTTTTTTTTAGGAGAAATATCCTCAAGTCCCTATGGTTACTGTAAGACTCTTACTGACTAAAAACCATTCCGTTACTTGTCCTGCTGCAGGCCGAGGATCTTGAACCGCAACCCCGGCCTACTGACATAGGCTTAAGTTTATTTACGAATACAAAATGTATATAACAAAATTTTGACTAGTCTATAAGCTATCTGTGGGCCTTAGCTGCCTGAAAATATTTTTTTGATAAATAAATAGACATTATTTTTGTAAACAATGTTCTACTTAAGTTAATCGTTTGCGTATATGAAGGTAGTAAAACATATCCTAAATGCGTAAATTTTAGGACAAATACTATCGAAATATTATTGACTAATAATATAACTATTAATCATCTAAATTTAATTATACCGAATATCATTAGACGAGCTTTTGTCTATAACCTAATAGACAATTTCGATTTAGAGGTAATATCATTACTTGTATAGTGCATCGGCCCCGTATCGCATGCTGTAATCAGATTAATATAACAGAGTACGTTAAGTAAGAGACTGTTAATATCATTAATTAGGATCTTATCAACTTGGTATTAAGAGTCCTTATCGATATTCCTTTATAGATTGCTCAGCGATATTGGATTACTTGTGTATTTTCGAAATTTTCAGTAATAATGAGACTTGAGATTGTTTTTTTTATGGAATAGGTGGCAAACGAGCAGACGGATAGCCTAGCTTCACTGACGAACAGACTGACAGACTACTATTCTGTTTTGACGTTTCAAAAGTACCTATTTATGGTTTAGTTGGAATAAATGATTTTGATTTGATTTGATTTGATTTGATCACCTGATGGTAAGCGATTGGTGCCGCCCATGGACACCCGCAACACCAGAGGAGTCACAGGTGCGTTGCCGGCCTTTTAAGGTTGCCGTTTCTTGAAGGTTTAATGGTCGTATCGGTTCGGGAATACCGCCGCCGGAAGGTCATTCCAAAGTTTTGCTGTGCGGGTTATATTGTTTTATGTATATGGTGTTTAACAGTCCAGGTTTTTTTTGAAATCAACGATTGGTTAAGCCAGTAAGAAGGGTCAGAATCACTTTAAATATACCCGTTTCTTCTCCTTCTCTTGATCCGGGCCGTGGCCGTGGCACTACTGGGTTTACACCCGCAACCGGCAATCCCGGCTTTTGACACTCCCTCTCGAATCTCTATTTTTTATGTAACAGATCGGCAAACGAGCAGACGTATTACCTGGTGGTAAGCAATCAGCACCGCCCATGAACACGCGCAACGCAGGAGTTACGAGTGCGTGGCCGACCTTTTAGGGATAAAGGATTTGGAGATTTAGATATTGAATAAATTGGTTGTTTCACGCCGGTTTTCTGTGAGGCCGTGGTATCACTCCGGTCGAGCCCACCCATTCACGCCGAAGTATGGCTCTCCCACACTTAGTTCGGAATCTTTCGGAGTCTGATGGTAATACTTCTCATATTGTAGCAATATCCTAAAAGGTCCGCGTCCTATGTTATACTTAGCGGATAAATCCAGTACTAACTATCAGATACAATTCCAAATTTTGTGTTATTACTGCCTTCGAAATAACCACAGTAATATTTTTCTAGTAATCCTATACATTTAAGACAGTTTACTCAACGGTCATAGATAGAACCTCTAGAATAACTAACGAGACCTGTACTGAAAATATTCTGCGGCCATTTTTTTGAGGTTAAAAGCCGTGATAATAGTTAATTAGATATCTAATAAATTACCGTTTTTTAATATAAAAAGTAAGGGATAATTTATGAAGGCCCGTAATAACGTCTTCCTTTAAAAGCCTCTTCAAATCTTGGAGGCGTGTTACCATAATCTGAGCTATTAGACAACCCCTTACAATTTACTGGGTGGCATTATTTTAATGAATTTTGAATGGGATTGTGTCAATCATTATGTATTATCTACAAGGATTTTGTTCTTAACAAGTTTGGTGGAGGATATAGAGGACATTAATAATTTATCGCGAATCCAATTTTAAAAGAATATGCCGTTAGAGCTGATTTTGGAATGGTTAGATAAAAGTTATATAGTTAAGGATTGACGTGGTGGCCCGTTGGGTAAGGACCCCGCTTCTCGTACATGAGTGTGTGGGTTCGAAACCTGGCAAGTACCAATGTGACTTTTGCCGAGTGATATGTACTTTCTATAATTATTGAGACACCACTGACATACGGTGAAGGTAAACATCGTGAGGAAACCTAAACTTATAATTTCTAATTATAAGTTTGAAATCGCCAACCCGCATTGAGCAAGCGTGGTGCATTAATGCTCTTACCTTCTCTTTATGAGAAGAGGCCTTTGCTCAGCAGGGGGCATTTATAGGCTGATGATGATGATGATGAGATAAAAGTTATCTGGTGAATAATTATGATGCAGTCGCGTCGGAATGTTTGTATAAGACAGTGACAGCAACAATTTTATTCCTCCGATAACATTCGTCTCACTATTGAAAAATCAGCTCTAAAAGTAACATTCTAGTATTATTAAGCAAACTGAACCGAAGTAAACATCGTTCAAATTTAGATTCCGTACAATGAAAAATGACAATGCATACATCTAATAGCTAATTACATGATAAACAAATCTAGGTCAATAAGAACGGAGGCCCACACTTCAAATTTCTAAAATCTAAAAGGATAGCAACGATCTTGTAACTACTAAAGTTTTGATAGTGCCCGGCACCGATTACTTACATTTAATAAAAAGCAACTCGTAATCACTATACCAACAAAATATTTAGTACCTATTTAGAAAAGTAGTGGAGCAAAATATTTCACTGCGCATAATAAATCAAGAACAGTAAAAGAATGAAACAGGGATTTGTTCGCAAGAGATGTCGGTTTTAAACTTCAACTGCGCTCCACTTGGTGAAAAGTGGCCAGAAAGGTTTTTGGCACTTTATTTTAAAAGAGGATGCTTCTGTGTCAACCCTCCTAAGTTATTAACGATAAAAAAATTAAATATTGTAAAAAAAATTAAAATAATCTATTTTACCGTTTTTAAAACGAATTCCAGATGTGAATTGAAAATAGAGTTGTTTCCCATTAAGAAAAGAGTAAGCTGTGTATTAAAATTAATTTAGGGTTTTTCAACTCGTCGCTTGGTGATAGCCAACTCGATAAATATAATATTTATATGACGCTTTGATAGTGCTATATGTAAGTAAAAAACACAATCCAAAGCAGTGCTCTATTAAAAGCATTGCTTCTTCTCTGTCGTTTCGCTCTTGGCAGAGCGGTCGTGGTCACGTAGAGGCATCCACATCGGTGGTAGAGGCGGACACAGCTCTCCGCACGATCTCCCGCCATCTCTCCCTGTTGGCAGATTGTCTGGTGCAGTCAGATACACGCGTTCCTACTGCTGATTTAAGCTGGTCGGTCCAACGCATAGGTGATCTTCCGCGTGGTCTTGTCCCTTCCACCTTTCCCTGAACGACCAGGCGCTCTATGGAATCGCTAGCCCGTCTAGAGACATGTCCAAAGTACTGTAAAATGCGCGACTGTACTAAGGCAGATAAAAGCATTGCTAGCCGAGGTTAAATATTCTTCAACAATTAGTCAAATTGAGGTCCGAAATTTTCCTTCTGCTTTCCTTTCTAGACCTTTTTTACACATGTTCAATTTAATTAACAACAGTAGAATGCGCTATACTGATTTCCACATGAATGACTGGGATAATCTTGCAGTCAAAACGAAATTCGCTGAATCCTCATTCGCTAAACGTTTGGTGGCACAATACGCTTAATAGAATGGTTCAAAGGAATTAAATTATCTGTGTAACCTTCCGTGAATTTTCCACTTGTCAAAAGAGAAGCGTGCTCATAACGATACCAAATGTATAATGTATGTTTAAGTGTGGGAGAGCCATGCTTTGGCACGAATGGGTCGGCTCGACCGGAGTAATACCACGGCCTCACAGAAAACCGGCGTAAAACAACCACAGAGTTGTGTTTCGCCGTGTGAGTGAGGTTACCAGAGGCCCAATCCTTCCCCTCCCTCAATCCCTAAATCTCCAAATCCCCAATCCCCAAAAGGTCGGCAACGCACTCGTAACTCTTCTGTGGTTGCGGGTGTCCATCGGCGGCGTTGATTGCTTACCATCAGGTAAACCGTCTGCTCGTTTGCCGACCTATAACATAAAAATATGTGTTATTTCGTTTTACGAGTTTTATTGTATTTTTTTAAATTTTGATTTAGTTATTTGTAAACTAGCGGCTCTTTCCTGTATCGCCATCAACAAAAGGGACGCTATTTCCCATTGCAAAGAAAATTTTAAACAAATAGAGTGGATCTATTTGTTTAAAATTTTCTCTTGTAGTGAGACCATTCCTTTGACCATGACAAAACATGATACGATAAAGAATTGGCAAAATTGGTTTAGGCGTTTTTGAGTTATGCAGTTACTAACAATTTTGCGATTAATTTTTTATACGACACGTCAATTAGCTAGAAAATGCTCAACTAGTTTTCATTTCTAATAGAAATAAATTTTGTTAGTTCCTAGATAACTTTTTTTGAATTTTACTTAACCTTACAAAAGTCTAACTGATAATAAAAGAATCTCGAGTTTAATATTTATGTAAAGCCATGGTCAGTTTCGATTTTTAGAGTTGGTCATCTTTTTTCCTCGTTAAAATATATATTATTTTTATAAACATATACGCAATATAGGTATACATTAATTTGCACAATATAGTCAATAAACAAGTACAAATACATCAAAAGCTTTCTTTTCTAGAATTTATTATGTGCGCGTGTTGACAAGCCGCTAAGCAATACAATAGGTAACTAGACTTCTACTTTCTTCTTCAATTAATTCTATTTTGTTGGTGTTTCGAGGTTGAGAGCAATGGTGTACCTACGGCGCCCCCTGCCTGGAGCAGGAGAAGGAACGAGGTGGATGGTAGTCGACAAGACACTCCCTAGAAGTCATTTGACGATTATAACCGCTAAAAAAGGGTATTGTGTAAAGTACAATTTTGTTTTGCACTTAGACCTTTTTAAATCGGTCCTACACCATATTTGAAGGTCACATTGTAGCTTACTTAAGAAATATGAATACCAGTATTTAGCAACTTTTGTCCTGTCAGTGCATACCTTTATACATACATTTCACTCGTATACATATATGTTACACTCACCTAATACATCATTCTTCTCAACTTTATATGATCTTGATGTCTTGCCCGGGTACTATAAATAGATATTTCATAAGACACAAGTAGTACCTAAACATTGCTGCTCAATGTCGATACGGGTTCTTGGAAGCCGGTCATGTGTAATGCAGATAAAGGAACAGTTAGTACTGTTCAGCATCGAAACGCTTTATTGTAGTTTGGTATCAGGCTCTCTATCACTATAAAGATGTTGATTGGAAAACCGAATTGTCGAGGCGCCCTGACCCGGAAACAATAAAAACTTTACGGGCGGCGCTTCGGCAGCACTTGGCTCCCGGCCGCTAGGTGGCGCTGCGGCCTGTTGTCCTCTTTACGACCAGATTACGGGAAGATTAAATAAAAAACAGAATCCCCGAGCTCATCGCCATTTTTAAAAGGTTTCGTGTTTGTACTAGCTGTGGACGCTCGTAAAAGTTACTCCAACTTTATTTACAACCGAGTTTTGTTTGCGTGTGCTAAAGTGGACATTGTTGTTCCGTTGTTTTAAACTCCCGATATAGTTTGTTCTACATCTGTTTAAATAATTTATGGATTGTGTTCAGCGACGCTAGTGACCCGCTCTGTTGCTTTTTATGGCGTTGTTACTCGACTCGACGCTGAATACATTGTGAGCATTTATCTTACACAAGACATGTACGTAAATTGTAAGCATTACATTAAAAACATTATCATATTTTCAGCATTAATGTTATTTCTAATAGGCTGATGTATACATTTATGTATTTAGGTCAGTTTTGTCCAATAAGTGACAAATATTTTAAAACTATTAAAATTACGTTTCGATACTTTTAATAATTGGTAAATGGCCATCAGACACAAAAATTGAAACCTTAGTCGGATATAGGTCATATCTTAGGGACATATGATAAATAAATAATGGGGAAAAAACAAAAGAGTAAAGATTACAAAAGAAGAATTTATATTTAGAGAAACGTTTAGGTTACAAATATTCAGTGGCCGGAAAGTCGCTGTGTGCGACACTATTTTATATTTGTGTCACGAATCAACCCTTACTATACGTGACTTTATGAAGGTAGCTACGTTCTCAGAAGTCATGTTGTGTTGAATCATCAGAAAAATCAGGCTTTACCGTTCCCTCGAACTTTCGTTGGGAGCAAGACCTCAGAGATTGCGGTAATAAATGTAATCGTTTCGGTGATAAATTATAGCGAATATCCTTTTTCTGTTTTGCTTTACATTTCGCGTAGCATAGGATTTGTTAGAGTCTTAAGGTACCTATATTCTTGGACATAGGCACCTGCTATATTATAATACCTATGTATGTATTGTTTAATATGTATTTTAAAATTATCGACAGTCAAATGTCAAAAGCAATTGTTTCGTCCGCGACGCAGTTATTATGGGAAGAGGGAACTCTTCTCCTCGCACCCCAGCCGCGGCAATAGGCGACATTCCGGGCGTTGGGGGTATAGAGATGATCTCCGGCCACCGTAAGTGAAGGTTTGCAGACGGCGACCAGAACCAAACCCGAGCGTACGGCGCGTAGCGTTTCGCGCGCGCCTCAAAGAGCCAATAGACCATTACAGACGGGGCCCTATAGGGCTGATGTTCAGCCGGGGTTGCGGGGTAAGCGCAATGAGTCACCGCGGCCTCGGCCCACAGCAGGAGAAGGAACGGGGGCTTGTCGGTCAGTAAGAGTCTGACACTCTCTCTCGCCTTACCCTGGGCGGGAGAAGTTATTTGATGATTTTCCACTGACAAAAAAAAGGGGAAAACGTTCGCTGAAAATTAATGTGCATCGAGTGTGAAAGATTATTATTATGTAATTGCTTAGACTCATCCTATTAATCTCATCATATACATCACTTCAGCAGCCTATAAGTTGACTGTTGACTGTTGAACACAAACTTTTTAAATAGAAAAAGGTTTGAATATTAACGCCACGCTTGCTCAAAGCGGATTGGTGTTTAATTTATGTTTTAAAGATTGTTAAAGATTATTGGTGATGTTATAAGGCTTCTTCTCGATGTTTATAAACCTAGACAGGTATACTATATATAACTAGCAAAAAGGCACATTGGTTCTTGCCAGATATCGAAAGCGCGTCCTCCCTGCAAGAGAAGAGCCAACACGACATTGTTTAGATCAGAAGACTTAAAATAAATACCCTTTCCATTCACAATTTTAGGGTACCAAATATTTAGAAGACAAACGAGAAAATCTGAGAAACTCAACATAAATGAATATATTTTCCGTGCATTGAAACTGATTAAGTTCAAAATAAGCAGCCGCTTTAGGAATAAGTCGGGGTTAATTTTAAATACTCTTGGCTGGCTTATATTATTACATCTGACTAATGTGGTTCATTCTTCACGCGTGTGGCTACTAATTTAACAGTGAAGTTGAGCGTTCATTGTTCTAATTGTAATATGCACGAATACTTATTAGCTTGTGAGAATTATTGTTGGGTATAAGTAAAACGGTTGTGTTTTGTTTTAATTTCGTTTTGTTCGTGTCTTTACGGATTTGGAAAGAGAAGTTGAATGGAGATGATGAACAAATTTCTTTGAAATGTTTGTATATAGGTATATATATATATATATATATATTATACATACATATTACAAAATCAAATTATTTGACTACATAGATTGATTTAAAATATAGTGTCTCGATTACTAAATTGCTTTTTGGTTTTGCAATGTAGGTTCTATTATATAGTATATTGTCGTTTTATAGATAAGTTTTTTATGATTATTATAATCAAATATAAATTACGTTTCGATTATTTCTTAACTATCTTGTTGAGCAACTACTCATTCATTCCGTAAAGTTTTTTATTTTAATTTTAATGTTCAATTTTAAATTTAGAACGATTAAATAAAATATTGATTTGAATACATGTAATTGATAGAATCACTTCCTATTATAATTTGAATTGTAGGTACTTAAGTGAAATTATGCATGTTTTGTTTAGGCGCAGATATTTAATACAGAGACAGATTTCTTTTGATTTATAAATTACAAATAAAAGATCAGTGTCATATTTAGAAGAAGTGAATTCAGAGAATGATTTCCATATTTGAATTTTAAAGAGTATGATCTTTTAGATAACCGTGTTTGACCTCATAGAGTACTTTTACAGTAGACATTTACTGAATGAAGATTACCTCTAGACTGCTTTATCAGTATTTTTGGTCGCAAATGTTGAATACAGAGCATTCAGTTCAAGGTTAGACAAAATTATTATTTTGCTTACTTAGGTAAAAGTGAAAATCAATTCACTTCTTTGAATCAGATCAATATAAGCCAATTTTAAACGTCAAATTAAATATTTAAAGATAAAATGCGTTGATCTATCGGTCAGTGCTCTTAAGTTAATCCTATGTCAGTACAAAACAAAAAAAAAAAACCTATAGGTACGAGGAGAAGAACGCGATAGAAACTTCAATGTTACTTGCTTAGCTGTAATAATGATTAAGAAATATCAGAATACGTTACAAAATCTTTTGCTTCAGCTTTTATGGTAGGGCCGATGTTCTGACGCAGTCGCTTACCGGGCACGGCAGCTTCGGTAGGTTCCTGTTTCGGATCCAGCGGGAGGAAACGTCCGAGTGTCGTCATTGTGAGGACCAACTAGAGGATTCGGTGGAGGTGACCGCCGTGTCCTCAGGGAAGTGATCGGCGGCGGCGACCTCTCGCGCCCGGCCTTAGTCGAGGCCATGGTGCGGAGCGAAAGGAACTGGGACGCCGTCTCCCCCTTCTGTGAAGCAGTTATGTTCGCAAAGAGGGAGGCGGCCCGCGTAAGGGAGCAATCCTCCTCATCACACCCCAGCCGCCGCATCAGGCGACACTACTGGCGTCGGGGATCAAGGGACGATCTCCGGCCACCGTAAGCGCGGGTCTGCGGTCGGCGAGTAAGGGGAGCTCGCCGCCCGACCAGAACCAGGCCCGAGCGTACGGCGCGTAGCGTTCCGCGCGCCTCAAAGAGCCAATAGACCACCACAGACGGGGCCCTATAGAGCTGATGTTCAGCCGGGGTTGCGGGGTAATGCGGCGCAATGAGGCACCGCGACGCTACCCAGAGCAGGAGAAGGAACAGGGGGGTTTTTATTCAGTTAGAGTCTGACACTCCCTCCCGCCCGGTCCTGGGCGGGAGAAGTCATTTGATGATTTTCCCCTCACAAAAAAAGGGCCGATGTTCAGCTAGGGTTGCGGATGCAAGCACTACACTGCACCGCGGTCCTGTCCCGGAGAAAGAGAAAGAACGGGATGGTTTTATAGGTATCTATGCACTAATTTTTAATGCTCATTCCACTTAAGAGTTATTAACATCGTTTAGCTTAACGGAATGATTAAGAAACACAGTTGTCTGTACAATACACATTTCTTTTAATTCCATTGTGCAAGAATATAATGAGAGTACATAACGTAAACACTAAAGTCTATTATTCCTCAACACACGTATGCCAAACGCGATATTTCAAAGACAAAGAATAGTTTTTATTGTTTTCAAATACATAACTAGTTGGAGACTCTGACTACGCTCGCGAATTTAGATAGGCCTTGATTTTATCTCTATTATGTATTGGCTACGATATGTATGTATTTACGACTTGTACGGGAATCTGTATACCCTTTTATTACCTGGGTTTAACAATGTATGTGTGTACGAACATAAATTATAATATGAAAAGTTTTTTACTATGTAATATAAGTAGGCAAAAAGTGGTTGTAGATTCTAGTCCAAAAAACAAATAATATCTTCTTGATCAATTGGTTTTGGTTATCAATTATATTGTCAATTATTCTTTTCAATATAAATTATAAATACAGATTTGATGTATTAAATAGATTGTTAACTATCTAAGTAGTTTCATCACAATTAGCTCAGTAATTTCCGAACTCACAACTATAACAGATAGACAAAACTTTTGTTCTGATTGCGTTATAAGTACGGTAGACTTTAGCTTACTCGGGGTGGGAGTATTAACCTCACATTAGCGTAATATTTCGAACTGCATCATGGCTGCCTGGCAAGGTTATTTCGCATTCAATTGTAGTTCCGCATCCACTCCAACATTGTAGTGCAAGCATACACAGTACGTGGCCTTTTCACAGTGAAGGAATAGGTTTGAAATTCCTATTGAAAGATAAAGTTACCTACACTACATTTTTACGTATTCACTTAGTGATAAAATTTTGGAATAAATAGGAATGAGAGCACGGCTATAGTTAAAGAGAATCAAGGACAAAAAGTTACTGTGTTATTGATAAAAAAAACTTGTATGAAACTGTATGGTTGACTGATGGCTAATAGAAAAGCAACCAGCCATTAAAATCACACATGATTCAGGTTAAACAAATGTAGTGTCGATGCCGCATGTTTGTGTCAAAAGACACCTATTATTATTTTCAAATATTACAAATTTTCTACAGCATTTTACAATAACTTAAAAAATGCTCAACATTTTGTGAGACATACACACACAAACACACGGCAAGACATTATCTAACAAAATATTAAACACGAGATAACAGAAACACGACACAAAACAAATGAAAAGGAAATAGATTTCATGCGATAGGCGCGAGGATACATCCCATCCGTAACAAGTCGTGTGAAACTAAAACAATGGACGTTAGATTACAGTAACGTACCCGAATAAACTAAATATGTAAATAATATTTATATGAGAAACAATACAGACGCCAAGCTATGATGGAGGACCGGCTAACGCAGGAAATAACCCCATTATTATTTTGTTAGAAAGACAAAAGATGTGTTCTATCCTTCGAAGGGGTCGTTGTATATTTTTAGCACGCTTTTATCAGGTCTACTTGAAATAAAGAACGTAATAAAATCAAGGAATCACAATCACATGTATTTCTTTAGTTGTATAGTTATGAAGCTTCGTAATTATTTAACTTAGTTTTTTTTAAGCGTAAACTTAAAAACCATCTTTACGATCTAGACGCCTATCGTCGGGACTGGTGGACACGGTTGAAGGATCGGGAGGTGTGGAAGCAAGATGGGGAGGCAAGGGGCAACCCTTTCAATGCCGTAGCAGATCTCTAACAAACAAATGACTGACGCCGCGGTACTTGAACACCCGTGTAAACCAAGGTCGGGATACTATTCTTCTTCACTCTTTACTTTTATTTAAAAATGGATTTCGCTATCTAGACGCCTATCGTCGAGACTGGTGGACACGGTTGAAGGATCGGGAGGTGTGGAAACAAGATGGGGAGGCCTTTGCCCAGCAGTGGGACAATATAGGCTAGTAAAAAAAAAATTAAAACCGTGAGGTCTGATCAACAGATGGTAAACAATCAGCTCTGCATATAAACTCAAGCAATAGTATAAAAGTGCGCTGTCAGCCTTTTAGGAATGTGAATAGTGGGGGATTTGGGGATCATGGGATTTGGAGTTGTGTGAGATGTAATAGGTAATGGGCGAATGGGCTTTCGGTAATCTGACTCAATACAACAATGTTGAAAGATAACCTTACAATATTATAGTATCATCAGATTGGTTTGATGATTAGGTATAAAGATATACATTATATAGGAAGGTAGATAATATATTTGACGGAGGAGGGAATGGAGGCTCGTTTTCAGCGTTTTTCATTGCAGATTGAATGATGCACGCATTTCTTTCGGACGAAGTGATTTCGTTACGGGGCTGGCTGACTAAATTTTTCTAACTGTCAAAACCCTTCAGTTGGCTGACATGCTCGGAAAAAGAACAGTG